TGAAACTGATCTCTTTTTGAGAACATTCTCAATCCATATGCAATGCTGAGTAGACTTCCAGAATATTCTGGAACTGTGGGAACTTGCCAGAAGTTTCTAGAATGGACCAGAATTTTCTAGAACTTTCTGGAATCTTTTAGAACTGTCTAGCATTTTCTCGGACTATTCAGTAATATCCATAAAAGTATAAAAGTATAGGTGCCTTAATCCAACATTTTGTTGTCTAATTGCTGAGTAAGAGAATAGTGAATAGCAATATCTGATTTAGGATTTAGCAGAGCCTGGTCTACCAGGCTTTTAATTGCTTGCAGAGTCTACTCATTTGTTTTTGGAGGCACTGGTCTACCCATTTGTTTTTGGAGGCACCGGTCTACTCATTTGTTTTTGGAGGCACCGGTCTACCCATTTGTTTTTGGAGGCACCGGTCTACCCATTTGTTTTTGGAGGCACCGGTCTACTCATTTGTTTTTGGAGACACCGGTCTACTCATTCATTTTTGGAGGTACCGGTCTACCACCACACTGCCTTTTAACACTGATCAGCTGTAGGGCGGCCCTTTGAAGCCTCACGGCAAGAGTTTAAACAGTTTTTTTCCTTCTAGCCGATCAGCTGAGACTCGGGAGGCAGCAATAGATTGGGGGTGGGGCCAAATAAAAGGTAAGAATAATGCAGGGGGGAGGGAGGGGTGGGGGGACCACCTCCCGAACAAAGGGAACCGGTTCGGTGATGTCATATTGTCACCTCTACCAGCTCGGCCAAACTGGGCCGAACCGGGAGGAACCCACCACTGGTACAAGGAAGAAAAGAGTCATGAAATTTGCTATCCTAAGAATTTGGTGGGAACCAACTGACTACTCAAGCAACTGTTACTTCTGCATGCTGGATTCTTCCAAACATTGAACTGGTAAGAATGTGCCTCCCATCATGTATCCAGACATTCCTTCATCTATTGCCCTGGTACCACATTGCCCTGAGCTCCTTGTTTCCACCTCTCTGGAGAGGGATCCGCAGCCATTTTGCATAAGCCAACTTGCCGCAGAACAATTCACCACGCCAATTTGCGGTGATAAAGAATTTGCCTTATTTGCCGTTGCATCAGGCTGCAAATTCATGTTTGCGAATGTTTGTCCTTAATGCTCTTTGAGTTTGGTCATTTGCTTGCTGATGTTTCTTTACCCAACTAGTAACATCATCAGTGCTGAGTGTGGGGTTTGTTCCTGTTTATATGCAATAGCCTGCCTCCTAGTGCTGGTGGGGATATGATTTTCTCCTTGGTAGTTCCTTGATTAGTCTGCTTGATTGTTTGTCTGGTGTTAACCCCTGCATATCTGGGTGTTGCTACTGAAGAGCATGTGTTCTCGCCATTTTTTTTCCAAGTTAAACTTATGTTTATGGTCAAGCAAAATACAGTTATCAGGGACAAAAAAAATGGCAGATTTTGCTAAACAAAATATACATGTCTTCTGTAGAAGCAAATTCTTTCTTATAAATATTTTTGAGCTCTAAAAGAGCCGAAGTGGCACAGTGGTTAGAGTGCAGTACTGCAGGCTACTTCAGCTGACTGCTAGCTGCAGTTCGGTAGTTCAAATCTCACCCGCTCAAGGTTGACTCAGCCTTCCATCCTTCCAAGGTTGGTAAAATGAGGACCCAGATTGTTGGGGGCAATATGCTAACTCTGTAAACTGCTTAGAGAGGGCTGTAAAAGCACTATGAAGTGGTATATAAGTCTAACTGCTATTGCTAGTGCAAAATTAAAAAATTAAAAAAAAATCACCTCACATGGTTAGTTTAAGAATAGGAAGCTAAGAGTAAGAGTAAAATACAAACCGACAGTGAAGGAATGTAAGAAACCTGATTCCCTGGAGATAAGTTTAGGGAGCAGGGCTTTTAACTTGTTCATATGTGCTCAAAGCTTATTCAGTGTACAGTATGCAAATTTGCTAGAGAAATCAACTTATTATTTTATTCTTACACAATATGTACATACTGTACTCCACTTTGCCCCAAATTGAGAGAAATGGTCAGTTCAAAAATGTGAATAAGCAAATAAAACATAAAGTAAATGAAGTTATTTAAAAAGAGCTCACAAAGTTTGGTAGCATCTTTTCTGATCCACTTTATTGCATTTTTAATGAAATTAATTATTTCCTTATTTACAGGGAGGTTTTGCATTACCATCAAGTGGTTCAGAGTCAACTAAGATGATTAAGGGTCTGGAGACCAAAACATATGAAGAATGGTTGCAGGAATTAGCTATGTCCAGTCTAGAGAAAAGGAAGATTCGGGGTGATAGCAGTATTCCAGTATTTGAGGGGCTGCCACAGAGAAGAAGGGGTCAACTTATTTTCCAAAGCACCAGAAGGCAAGACAAGGAACAATGGATGGAAACTAATCAAGCCTTGATGGTACAGTGGTCTAAGCACCCTGTTATTAACACAGCTGCCTGCAATTACTGCTGGTTCGAATCTCTCCAAGGCTCAAGGTTGACTCAGCCTTCCATCCTTCCTAAGGTAGGTGAAATGAGGACCCAGATTGTGGGGACAATAAGCTGACTTTGTATAAATATACAAAAGTATGAAGGGTATTGCTTAACGCATTGTAAGCTGCCCTGAGTCTCCGGAGAAGGGCGGCATATAAATCAAATTAAAAAAAAAAAAAAAGCACAGAAATAACTTGGAATTAAGGAGAAACTCCCTAACAGTGAGGACAACTAACCAGTGGAACAGCTTGCCTTCAAAAGTTGTGGGTACTTCATCAGTGTAGGTTTTTAAGAAAAGTCTGGACAGCTACCTGTCTGAAATGATGTAGGGTCTTCTGCTTCAGCAGGGGTTGGACTAGAAGACCTCCAAGGTCCCTTCCAGCTCTATTCTGATTGAAGAGTCATGACAGCATTGAACAGAGGGGAGATAAGTCTAGTTCACAAAGCGGTGGCCATCGCAGCATCCCTGCAATCACATGATCGCAAATTCAGGCACCCGGCACCTGGCTTGCGATTACAACGGTTGTAAATATCCCATAGTTACATGATCTCCTTTTGCAACATCCCCTGCCAGTTTCCCTCAAGCAAATCAATGGGAAAACCAGCAGGAGTCACCCCTGCTGCCTTTTTTGCCTACCCGCTCTACTGCAACTCTTACCCACCGTTCTGCTTGGCTGGGACTCCCACCTCTTCCCACTTAGCAACATGCACAGCAGTGGGTTCCTCCCGGTTCGGCCCGGTTCTGCCGAGCCGGTAGTGGTGACGATATGATGTCACCGAACTGGTTCTGCCCCCCCGCGTTATTCCTACCTTTTATTTGGCCCCACCCCCAATCTATTGCTGCCTCCTGAGTCCCAGCTGATAGGCTAGAAGGAAAAAAACTGTTTAAACTCTTGCCGCGGGGCTTCAAAGGGCCGCCCTACAGCTGATCAGTGTTAAAAAGGCAGTGTGGTGGTAGACCGGTGCCTCCAAAAACAAATGAGTAGACTGGTGCCTGCAAAAATAAATGGGTAGACCAGTGCCTCCAAAAACAAATGAGTAGACCAGTGCTGCAAAAACAAATGAGTAGACCAGTGCCTGCAAAAATAAATAGGTAGACCGGTGCCTCTAAAAACAAATGAGTAGACCGGTACAGCTCTGCAAGCAGTTAAAAGCCTGGTAGACCAGTACCTCTGCTAAATCTTAAAGATGACCATCAAGCCACGCCCACAAAATAAGCCACGCCCACAGAAACGGTTGTAAAAAAATTTAGAACCCACCCCTGATGCACAGTCTTGGGGTTATGACAATAGCTGGAATTGCTGGAATTGATGTTGCTAATTGATGCAGGCACACAATGTTGTGCTTTATGACCGCCTCAGTTAGCAATGGAAATTCCATTGCAACCCAAGGAATACTTGTAATTTTATTAAAAAGCGTAGGTTTTTGTGAGTTGCCTCTTCTGACTTTTGGATACCAGAAACTAATGCGGCTCTTCTACGATGTCTGCGGAACCTTTGCTATCACAGGCAGACCAAGAAGGCACCAGGAAAAACAGATATACCGTATTTTTCTGACTATAAGACGCACCAGTGTATAAGATGCACCAAGATTTCAAAGAGATAAGCAAGGAAAAAAACATTTTTGCCCTCCCCAGCCCCCAGGAGCACTCTGCAGGCCTCCCAAAGCCTCTGCATGTCCTGTTTTTTGCAAAAACGGTACTTGTGGGGCGGGGCTTCGGGCAGGGCTTCGGGCGGCCAAAAATAGCTGTTTCGCTGTATAAGACGCACCAACATTTCCACCCTCTTTTAGGAGGCAAAAGTACGGTACTTCCATTTGCAGCCCATTCCAAATTCAGTTTCAAAACAGGGCAAGACATGTATAGAAAAGGCATCTAATCCAGACTTCTTTCCCTTTCACTATTTTGAGGTTTAAATGCCCCCAAACACAGTCCAAAACACGGCATAGGGAGAGAGAGACACACACAGCAGGCACCCAGGAAGTCCTGCTTAAATAAAAGAGAATCTCTAAATTTAGCTTCCTGCAGGAAAGCAAGCTCAGTTTTCCAGAAGTAGCTCACAGAAAGTGGGCAGTACAGTTTAAGCGTTCAACAATGATCAGGAGCAGTAGCAGAGGTGGTATTCAGCAGGTTCTGACCAGTTCTAGAGAACCTGTAGCGGAAATTTTGAGTAGTTCGGAGAACTGGTAAATACCACCTCTGACTGGTCCCGCCCCCATCTATTCTCTGCCTCCCGAGTCCCAGCTGATCGGGAGGAAATGGGGATTTTGCAGTATCCTTCCCCTGGAGTGGGAGGGAATGGAGATTTTACAGTATCCTTCCCCTTCCACGCCCACCAAGCCACACCCACCAAGCCACGCCCACAGCACCGGTAGTAAAAAAATTTGAATCCCACCACTGAGCAGTAGGACTTTCTTCCTAATAAACTGCCACAAACTCAGATTAACCAGAGGTCAGCTAGCTTCAGCCAGCATCATTTCAGAGGAGATATATAGGCCGAAGTAGAAGAGCCACTAATCTTACCTTCACACTGTTTTCCTTCTCCCTTATAACCTGGCTTGCAAATGCATTTGAATGATTTAGGTGTGTTCTGACAAATTGCATCAATGTGGCAGTCATCTGTCCCTTCTGTACATTCATCGGCATCTGTGCGACAAAATATTTTTTTTTAAAGAAAGTAAAACATAGCAAGTGATTTCATGACAACTTTGAGCAGAACTAGTGAAACCACTCAACTGGGCAAGGATCATCCCAGACGTTAAGTGTAACCTCATCATTGCAGTGGATCTTGAGCCACGGTGGCGCAGTGGTTAGAGTGCCGTACTGCAGGCTTCTTCTGCTGCCTGCCGGCTGCCGGCAATTTAGCAGTTCAAATCTCACCGGGCTTAAGGTTGACTCAGCCTTCCATCCTTCCGAGGTGGGTAAAATGAGGATCCAAATTGTTGGGGACAATATGCTGACTCTATATACCGCTTAGAGCTTAGAGTAAAGTAAGTATGAATAAACTAAAACTAAACTAAAGCACTGTGAAGCAGTATACAAGTCTAAGTGCTATTGCTATCTTCCATAGCTACAACACAAAACGCCTTGATTTAGGAAAGACATCCCAAATAAGTTCCTCAACTAGACATCTCAATGATGTGACGTAAGACAGACCTTTGATCACACTTTCATCGCCACTTCTGGATACCCTAAAGAGAAGATTGTCTAGTTTTCTGGCAGCCATTATTTAACTCCCTCCTGGATGTTACTTCATCATCGGCCTAACCTAATACTCAAAGTGCCATTTGGACCCGTTTCCCACTGAAAAGAAAACACCGGGAGCCACAAAACCTGGGTGGGCGTGGCCAACTCGATGTCATTCACTTCCACCAGTCACACAACCCCCTAGCCACGCCTACCCAGCCAGTCATTAGGGCAAAGAACTAGTTGTTAAAAAACACCGGGAACCACAAAATCCTTTTGACATCTCTCTCTCCCCCCTCTCTCCCTCCCTCCCTCTCTCCCCCTCTCCCTCTCCCTCTCTCTCTGTATCTATGTCTCTCTCTTTCCCCCTCTCTCCTTTTCTCTCTGCCTCTGCCCTGGCCACTTCTCCCATCCCCCGCCGTCGCCCTTACCTTCTCAGGCCAGGCAAGGAGTGACTGGGAGGAGAGGGCGAGGGGCGGGGCCAGCCAGTGGTGGGATCACCTGACAGGGAGCCACAGCAGAGGGCCCAAAGAGCCGCATGCGGCTCCGGATCCGCAAGTTGCTGACCCCTAGTGTAAGTGCTATTGCTATTTCTCAAACAGTATATTTTGAGAAATGCAGATGCAGGAAGCACCATCTAATGTCATTCTCTTTCATCAAAGTTTATATTTGAAGGTAAGTGTCCAATCACAAAAGGGTCAGGTGTAGTGTAGAGATTCAAGTGCTGGATAATGATTGGGGAAACCCAGGTTAACTCCTTTGACACAGAAACACATGGGGGACTTTGGGCCAGTCACTCCCTCTGATAACAGCTGACCCACCAAGAAAATTGCAGTTTCCTGAGCTGGAAATAAATCAGACTGTAAGGGGAAGGCTTTGACTCTTAGCACCTAGCTTTTTTTTTTTTTCTGATTTCAAAAAGTTTATCACATAAAATCCAGAAAAGTTTTCATTATATTTGCCTTTCCCCCAGATCTCCGCTTTTTGTTTTCCTGTGGGGAAGAAGAAAAATTGTTTGAAATATTCATAATTTGTTTTCCCATTCTTGTTTTGGAATGATGACAGCAATTAGCATTTATGCTGCATTTCCACAATGGGGAGCGCAAAATGTAGACAGCATAAAAATGAGACCCCCTGTCATCACTGCAGGGAAAACATTATTTTTCCTGACCGCAGTATATAGATAGATAGAATTTTTTATTGGCCAAGTATGATTGGACATTGCAAGGAATTTGTCTTTGGTGCATATGTTCTCAGTGTACATAAAAAGAAAAGATACATTTGTCAAGAATCATAAGGTACAACACTTAATGATAGTCATGGGGTACAAATAAGGAATCGAATAATACTAGGAAACAATCAATATAAATCATAAGGATACAAGCAACAAGTTACAGTCATACAGTCATAAGTGGGAAGAGATGGGTGATAGGAACGATGAGAAGACTAATAGTAATAGTACTGCGGACTTAGTGAATCATTTGACAGTGCTGAGGGAATTATTTGTTTAGCAGAGTGATGGCGTTCGGGAAAAAATTGTCCTTGTGTCTAGTTGTTCTGGTGTGCAGTGCTCTATAGTGTCGTTTTGAGGGTAGGAGTTGAAACAGTTTATGTCCAGGATGTGAGGGATCTGTAAATATTTTCACAGCCTTCTTTTTGACTTGTGCAGTATACAGGTCCTCAATGGAAGGCAGGTTGTAGCAATTGTTTTTTTCTGCAGTTCTAATGATCCTTTGAAGTCTGTGTCTGTCTTGTTGGGTTGCAGAACCAAACCAGACAGTTATACAGGTGCAGATGACAGACACTGGAAACATATGGAGAGACATTGGACAATCCCCCCCAAAAAAGACAGAGAGGAAAGAAAGAAAAATAGCTGGGGTGAAATTTCTTCATCAGGCTCAGGTGTGTCACTGAAATATATCTCTTCAAGAGGATTGGATCTAGTTAATACTTGGATGGAGTGCCATCAGGAAATCCTGGATGGTGGGATAGACTCGGAAATTTTTAAAAAATCTTTCGGAAAGGATGCCAATCACTGTCACATTCCTCCCAGGAAAATATATGGGATGAATCCTGGAAATCTACAGGTATAATGACTTTATCTTTTCTCATAGCAGGTGGCAGCAATATATATAGATATACCGGTATATTGAAAGCGCTGTGCGCTTATGAAAGTCACTTTTAATAGCTTCAAGCTGTGTGCATTAGTGCCCTCCAAACAGCCAGGGTTCTTAACCTAGGTGGCAACTCACAGCAGATATATTTGTGACCGCATGAAAATCCTATTTTCTAGCCAGATGGTCAAAAGACTCTGTAAAAAAGAACCTGCGGTGTCCGTCTTCCCTGGGTTTCTAAATGGATGCAGATTTAAGGAGCGGAGATCATTCAGCTGTATTGCCAGGGGGTTACATAAGACCAGATTTCTGCAGAGCGACAATCATAGAAACTCCAGGCTCTGCAAGCAATAACCAGAGCATAAATAAATAAATTAACCAGGTTCTTTCGCTACAGGGATCGCAGTTAAAGAACAATGCTGCTTTTCTGTTACTTGTCACATTTTAGGCAGTTTTATACACTTTATTCCCTTCTGTTGTTGTTGTTGTTGGAAGGTATTTCCCCAATAAGACCTACTTTGCTAAGAGGGCTGTTTGAGCTTCTTGTATTTTTATTGTTCGTTCCCAAAGCGGACAGCATGCTAATGTGATTCTCCTGCACTCCTAACGTATAAAGTTCCTTTTAATTACAAAAAACTTAGCTTTCAGCGGAGCTTATACTTTTGAAATCACCATTAGGCTCAAGACAGACCCTGGTGGATTTTGCCTTCAGCCATCCCAGATCCACATTTTAGGACAAGAGTTCAAAAGATGCACTCAAAATTCCAAAGGCGTCAAATTTCCTGAAAGGGAGATGTTTCATGGCCACGCAGAAAGTCAAGATGGAAGTAATGACCCTGAAATCAAACCTCTGCTCTTATTTTACAGGCAACACTGACCTGGGGGCCCCAGAGTTTAAGGCAAACTAACCCTAAGCCCCCCCCCAAAGAAAGATGTGGCAGAAAAAAATTCCTCTCCTATATTCTTAGCAAAACTAAACTTACATTATATAGCAAAAAAAATTCATTCGAGAGAAATATGGGGCCGCTATCCTACATGAAATTTCTGCTCTATCACTTTTGTCCCTAGACAATATGATTTCCAAAAGAACTAGAAGTCTTTTCCAAAGAATTATGATATCATTCACAATTAAACTCTAAACTGGTAAAACTGATAACTTAAAAAACAACAACAATGTGAATGCTGGTATTGTTATAATAAAGACCAGAATGAAGAATACAGAAGTGATGCCCAGAAAAAACTAACATTTTTCCTCCCTGCTGGAAAAAACCACTGTATACCATAATAATGCCATTTCAGCGTATCGTGTTCTGCAAACTCAGCAAGAGTTACTGAGGCTTGAAACCACAGTTAAGCCAGGTTCTGACAGTTTCTGCAGAACCGGTAGCGGAAATTTTGAGTACTTTGGAGAACTGGCAAATACAACCTCTGGCTGGCCCCAGAGTGGGGTGGGAATGGAGATTTTGCAATATCGTTCCCCCAGGAATGGGGTGGGAATGGAGATTTTGCATATCCTTCCCCCAGGAATGGGGAGGGAATGGAGATTTTGCAGTATCCTTCCCCTGAAGTGGGGAGGGAATGGAGGTTTTGCAATATCCTTCCCCCAGGAGTGGGGAGGGAATGGGGATTTTGCAGAATCCTCCTGGAGTGGGGAGGGAATGGGGATTTTGCAGTATCCTTCCCCTGGAGTGGGGAGGAAATGGAGATTTTGCAGTACCCTTCTCCTGCCATGCCCACCAAGCCACGCCCACAGAACCGGTAGTAAAAAAATTTAGATTTCACCACTGCATAAATGTAATAACTTTGCTTGTGCAAACCCAACCAGTGTTCATGAAAAAGGTACTAAACAAATAATGGTTAAGTGTGATTTGCGAGCTCAGTCACTGAATCAGTTCTTTCTCTAAACAATTATCAATCGATCAGAATAGAACTGGAAGAGCCTTGGTAGTACAGGGGTTTAAGGCACCCTGTTATTAAGCTGGTTATTAAGACCAGCTGCCTGCAATTACTGCAGGGTTCGAATCTCGCCAAGGCTCAAGGTTGACTCAGCCTTCCATCCTTTCTAAGGTAGGTGAAATGAGGACCCAGTTTGTGGGGGCAATAAGATGACTTTGTATAAATATACAAAAGGATGAAGGCTATTGCTGAGCACATTGTAAGCCGCCCTGAGTCTTCGGAGAAGGGCGGCATATAAATCAAATTAAAAAAAAAAAAAAGAAGGAACCTTGGAACTTATCTAGTCCAACCCCTTGCTCAAGCAGAAGACCCTATACTACAGGTGTCAAACTCAAGGCCCGCAGGCCAGATGTGGCCCGCGATGTGATGGGATCTGGCCCACGGGGCCAT